GGCGAAGGTACCTAGGGATTGGCAGAGAGCATGTATAGTCCCTTTATATAAAGGGAAAGGGGACAAAAGAGACTGTAAAAATTATAGAGGAATAAGTTTACCGAGTATACAAGGAAAAGTGTACGGTAGGGTTATAATTGAAAGAATTAGAGGTAAGACAGAATGTAGGATTGCGGATGAGCAAGGAGGTTTCAGAGTGGGAAGGGGATGTGTAGATCAAGTGTTTACATAGAAGCATATATGTGAACAGTATTTAGATAAAGGTTGGGAAATTTTTATTGCATTTATGGATTTAGAAAAGGCATATGATAGAGTGGATAGAGGAGCAATGTGGCAGATGTTGCAAGTATATGGAATAGGTGGTAAGTTATTAAATGCTGTAAAGAGTCTTTATGAGAATAGTGAGGCTCAGGTTAGGGTGTGTAGAAGAGAGGGAGACTACTTCCCGGTAAAAGTTGGTCTTAGACAGGGATGTGTAATGTCACCATGGTTGTTTAATATATTTATAGATGGGGTTGAAAAGGAAGTAAATGCTAGGGTGTTCGGGAGATGGGGGGGATTAAATTTGGGGGAATCAAATTCAAAATGGGAATTGACACAGTTACTTTTTGCTGATGATACTGTGCTTATGGGAGATTCTAAAGAAAAATTGCAAAGGTTAGTGGATGAGTTTGGGAATGTGTGTAAAGGTAGAAAGTTGAAAGTGAACATAGAAAAGAGTAATTTGATGAGGGTGTCAAATGATTTAGATAAAGAAAAATTGGATATCAAATTGGGGAGGAGGAGTATGGAAGAAGTGAATGTTTTAAGATACTTGGGAGTTGACGTGTCGCCGGATGGATTTATGAAGGATGAGGTTAATCATAGAATTGATGAGGGAAAAAAGGTGAGTGGTGCATTGAGGTATATGTGGAGTCAAAAAACGTTATCTATGGAGGCAAAGAAGGGAATGCATGAAAGTATAGTAGTACCAACACTCTTATATGGGTGTGAAGCTTGGGTGGTAAATGCAGCAGCGAGGAGACGGTTGGAGGCAGTGGAGATCTCCTGTTTAAGGGCAATGTGTGGTGTAAATATTATGCAGAAAATTCAGAGTGTGGAAATTAGGAAAAGGTGTGGAGATAATAAAAGTATTAGTCAGAGGCAGAAGAGGGGTTGTTGAGGTGGTTTGGTCATTTAGAGAGAATGGATCAAAGTAGAATGACATGGAAAGCATATAAATCTATAGGGGAAGGAAGGCGGGGTAGGGGTCGTCCTCGAAAGGGTTGGAGAGAGGGGGTAAAGGAGGTTTTGTGGGCAAGGGGCTTGGACTTTCAGCAAGCGTGCGTGAGCGTGTTAGATAGGAGTGAATGGAGACGAATGGTACTTGGGACCTGACGATCTGTTGAGTGTGAGCAGGGTAATATTTAGTGAAGGGATTCAGGGAAACCGGTTATTTTCATATAGTCGGACTTGAGTCCTGGAAATGGGAAGTACAATGCCTGCACTTTAAAGGAGGGGTTTGGGATATTGGCAGTTTGGAGGGATATGTTGTGTATCTTTAAATGTGTATGCTTCTAAACTGTTGTATTCTGAGCACCTCTGCAAAAACAGTGATAATGTGCGAGTGTGGTGAAAGTGTTGAATGATGATGAAAGTATTTTCTTTTTGGGGATTTTCTTTCTTTTTTGGGTCACCCTGCCTCGGTGGGAGACAGCCGACTTGTTGAAAAAAAAAAAAATAAATAACATATAGAAAAAAGTGCTCTTCATTTAAAAAAAAAAAAAAACTATTTCTTTATTTTTCAAAATATTCGGAGCGCTACGCGAGTGAACGTAGATCTATGTTTGGAGAGTTTAAGGATTAAAAAATAACTATAGTTTTACATATAGAAAACAATGAGAAATAAATATAAAGCACTAATTTTTACGATAAATAAACATTACATACCTTTATTGAAGACTCTTGTTGGCGTATTGAAGAAGGTGAAGACGGGAGAGAGATCTGAGGTTATTGTTTGGAAGGGAAATCCCCCTCCAAAAGGACTTCAGGTATCAAAGCCTTCTCTGGGGTTACTTCCTTTCTTTGTCTTTTACTAGCACTAGACCCCTGTCCCACTAAAAAATCTGTCCAGAGAGCTCTGTTTCTGGCGTCTCTAAGATTTGCCTAAAATGGGACAAGGTATTGTCACTGAACATGTTGCAGATACGGCTTGTGTCAGCTTTGTCAGGTTGATATTTTTCAATAAAAGTTTGCACCTCATTCCACTTGGCACAAATGTCCTTAATCACTGAAGAAGGTACCTCCTCTCTCTCTCTTCTTCCTCTTCCTCCTCCTCCTCTGAAGCTATTTCCTCAGTTGCAGCCTGTTGCCGTTCCAGTTGTAGCTCTTGCAGCTCTTCAGTGGTTAGCTCTTCCATGTGGTCCTCCACCAACTCTTCAACATCCTCGCCACTCGCCTCCAACCCCATGGATTTCCCCCAAAACACAACAGATTCCACAACAGGCACAGGGTCATCAGGGTCAGCCTCAAACCCTTCAAAATCCTTGTTGAGGATACATTCTGGCCACACTTCTCCAAAGACACAATAGATTCCACAACAGGCATAGCGTCATAAGGCCAGCCTCAAACCCTTCAAAATCCTTGTCGAGGACACATTCTGGCCACAATTTTCTCCATGAAGAGTTCAAAGTCCTGGAAGTCACACCCTGCTAAGCCTTACCTATAAGGCTTATGTGACAGAGGATATTGAAGTGATTCCTCCATAACTCTGAGGTCACTTCAAAGTACCTTTGAAACATTGCTTTCATGTAGAGTTTTTTGAAGTTTGATGCTGGTCCATGGGCTGGATGAGAGGAGTGGTGTTAGGGGGCAAGAACTTCACTGTTATAAAACTGAAATCCCTAATCAACTGGTCTTCCAAATCTGGAGAATGAGCAGGAGTATTGTCCATTACCATGAGGCACTTGAATGGCAATTTATTTTCCAGGAGGTATTTTTTTACACTTGGGCCAAACACTTCATGGACCCATTCAAAGAAAATTTGCCTCATGACCCATGCCTTATGATTAGCTTTCCACATCATGTACAATTTACTCTTGACAGCATTGTTTTTCTTGAACACTGGGATTTTCAGAGTAATACACCAGTAAAGGCTTCACTTTGAAATCCCCACTAGAGTTGCACAGAACAAAAGAGTTAGCCAATCCTTCATAGGCTTGTGTCCTGGCAGTGCCTTTTTCTCCTGCATGATGTAGGTCCTCTTCGGCATTTTCTTCCAAAAGAGGTCTGTTTCGTCACAACCGAACACTTGTTGGGAGTGGAATCCCTCAGTCTCTACGCACCCCTTGATTTCCAGCACAAATTTTTCAGCCGCATGCTTGTCTGAACTTGCAGCCTCACCATGCCTTACAAAACTGTGAATGCCACTACACTTCTTAAATCTGTCAAACCAGCCTCTGCTGGCCTTGTCTTCACTAACACCAGTACTAGTTCCAGGCATTTTCTTTACGAGATTCGTATGCAATTGCCATGCCTTTTCACAAATGATCGTCTCCGAAACACTATCTCCCATTAACTGTTTCTCCCTGATCCACAATAACAACAGCAACTCCAAATCTTCCATTGTTTGTGATCTCTTTTTCATTAACATGTTTAACCCTTTTGCCCCATCAGATTCCTTGATTTGTTCTTTCTTTGCCAGGATAGAAGTAATTCTTGATTTGTTTTTGCCATACATCCTGGCAAGCTGGAGCACACGCACACCACTCTCCCATTTTTCTACAATTTCTACAATTCTATTGTGTTTCTCACTTTCTTTACCAAAGGCACTCTGAACTTTCTTCGGCCCATGGTGGCTTATTTTGTAGTTGCACTTAATAAACAAGCACAAAAACCAATGGATTTTAAGATGTTTGGATGAATGCACGGAGAATATGCTCACTCACTGAGAGACACAGGGAGACTGACTCACCTACGCGTGGCGTCCCGGCAGGAGGCTGGCTGACACCGGCAAGGCACCGGCCAAAACACGGCACAAAATTTCGGCCCAAAAACCGGCCTAAATACGATTCAGTCGATACCCGCAGCTGCCGATATTTGGTGTTCCTCTGTAGTTGAAATAATTGACTGGGCAATTTCTTGTGCTCAATAAATAAAATGGAACACATGGAAGTGACATAGCTAAAAATTTGGTCTAATGGAACAATGTAATTGGCCAAAAATAGGAGTCAAAGTGGGCAAAATCATTGATGCGTAATACTGCTGACACAGCAAAATCTGCAAGAGTGTAATTTTGTCAATTTTTCATCAAATTTCATACTTTTTATTTTATTACCTCCAGAAAAAGATTCATAAGAACATAAGAAAGGAGGAACGCTGCAGCAGGCCTGTTGGCCCATACTAGGCAGGTCCTTTACAATTCCTCCCACTAACAAACATTTGACCAACCCAACCCTCAATGCCACCCAAGAAACAAGCTCCGATGTGCAAGTCCCTCTCAAATCCAACCCCTCCCACTCATGTACTTATCCAACCTAAATTTGAAACTACCCAAAGTCCTAGCCTCAATAACCCAACATAGAATTAGGGGGGATATGATTGAGGTGTATAAATGGAAGACAGGAATAAATAAAGGGGATGTAAATAGTGTGCTGAAAATATCTAGCCTAGACAGGACTCGCAGCAATGGTTTTAAGTTGGAAAAATTCAGATTCAGGAAGGATATAGGAAAGTACTGGTTTGGTAATAGAATTGTGGATGAGTGGAACAAACTCCCGAGTACAGTGATAGAGGCCAGAACGTTGTGTAGCTTCAAAAATAGGTTGGACAAATACATGAGTGGATGTGGGTGGGTGTGAGTTGGACCTGATAGATTTTTAAAATTCTTGGACCCTGTGGGCAATTTTCAGACTGGGGGTCTAGACCTGCAAAGGGTTAAGTAAGAAAACAATACTGTAAATATAATCAATTCGAGTACTAGTAGCTAGTAAAACAGTCTAACAAAACTGTATCTATCTCACCTTTCCATGGGAGTTGACAACAGCCATGGCAGCTTCAAGCATCTTGTTTCGAACCTCAACACTGCGATCACCAAGAGCATCTGGCACAAAAAAATTTGCAAGTGTCACAACAGTGTCAGCTTGAAGTAGTGGCGCAATCTGTTTTAAAGCCATTGCCACCCCAGCCCGACCTTCCCAGAGGTCGACCGCATCTACAACAATGCGGTCATACTGGTCCCTCACAGCTGGAGTCATCTGGATAAACAAAACATTATGTCAGTAACTTTTACATGGCATTATAAACAAACTTTACAAATAAAATTTTACATGTATGTGATCATAATGGAATTTATGACTTTTATATTACAAAATAAATATTAAACCAAAACTTTCTTTTTTTTTTCTTTTATGTCATATTCCACTTCATTTACTTTTTCACCCCAACAGTTGCTTCCCACCAGAACAATGACCCAAAGAAGAAAACACATTCATCATCATTCACTCAAGTGTTGTCTTGCCAGAAGTGTGCTCATATCATAATTATTACCCTATGACTGCATCATCACTTAACTTACAGCAGAAATATATAAATAATAAGATAATTTCTAGGTAGTAGGTTGATAGACAGCAACCGCCCAGGGAGGCACTACCGTCCTGCCAAGAGTGTAAAATGAAAGCCTGTAATTGTTTTACATGATGGTAGGATTGCTAAAGTCCCTTTTTCTGTCTCATGAGCATGCAAGAGTTCAGGTACGTCTTGCTCCTTCTACTTACACTTAGGCCACACTACACATACATGTTTTTTTTTTTTTTTCAACAAGTCGGCAGTCTCCCACCGAGGCAGGGTGACCCAAAAAGAAAGAAAATCCCCAAAAAGAAAATACTTTCATCATTCAACACTTTCACCTCACTCACACATAATCACTGTTTTTGCAGAGGTGCTCAGAACACAACAGTTTAGAAGCATATACGTATAAAGATACACAACATATCCCTCCAAACTGCCAATATCCCAAACCCCTCCTTTAAAGTGCAGGCATTGTACTTCCCATTTCCAGGACTCAAGTCCGACTATATGAAAATAACTGGTTTCCCTGAATCCCTTCACTAAATATTACCTTGCTCACACTCCAACAGATCGACAGGTCCCAAATACCCTTCGTCTCCATTCATTCCTATCGAACATGCTCATGCACGCCTGCTGGAAGTCCAAGTCCCTGGCCCACAAAACCTCCCTTACCCCTTCCTTCCAACCTTTTCGAGGACGACCCCTACCCCGCCTTCCTTCTCCTACAGATTTAAATGCTCTCCATGTCATTCTACTTTGATCCATTCTCTCTAAATGACCAAACCACCTTAACAACCCCTCTTCAGCCCTCTGACTAATACTTTTATTAACTCCACACCTTCTCCTAATTTCCACAATCCGAATTTCCTGCATAATATTTACACCACACATTACCATTAGACAGGTCATCTCCACTGCCTCCAACCGCCTCCTTGCTGCTGCGTTCACAACCCAAACTTCACACCCATAGAAGAGTGTTGGCACTACTATACTTTCATACATTCCCTTCTTTGCCTCCATAGATAACGTTTTTTGACTCCACATATACCTCAACACACCACTCACCTTTTCTCCTTCATCAATTCTATGATTAACCTCATCCTTCATAAAACAATCTGCCGACACATCAACTCCCAAATATCTGAAAACATTCACTTCTTCCATACTCCTCCTCCCCAATTTGATATCCAATTTTTCTTTATCTAAATCATTTGATACCCTCATCACCTTACTCTTTTCTATGTTCACTTTCAACTTTCTACCTTCGCACACACTCCCAAACTCATCCACTAACTTTAGCAATTTTTCTTTAGAATCTCCCATAAGCACAGTATCATCAGCAAAAAGTAACTGTGTCAATTCCCATTGTGTATTTGATTCCCCATAATTTAATCCCACCCCTCTCCCGAACACCCTAGCACTTACTTCTTTTACAACCCCATCTATAAACATATTAAACAACCATGGTGACATTACACATCCCTGTCTAAGACCTACTTTTACCAGTTTGTAGTCTCCCTCTCTTCTATACACCCTAACCTGAGCCTCACTATCCTCATAAAAACTCTTTACAGCATTTAATAACTTACCACCAATTCCATATACTTGCAACATCTGCCACATTGTTCCTCTATCCACTCCATCATATGCCTTTTCTAAATCCATAAATGCAATAAAAACTTCCCTACCTTTATCTAAATACTGTTTGCATATATGCTTCAAAGTAAACACTTGATCTACACATCCCCTACCCACTCTGAAACCTCCTTGCTCATCCGCAATCCTACATTCTGTCTTACCTCTAATTCTTTCAATAATAACCCTACTGTACACTTTTCCTGGTATACTCAATAAACTTATTCCTCTATAATTTTTACAATCTCTTTTGTCCCCCTTCCCTTTATATAAAGGGACTATACATGCTCTCCGCCAATCCCTAGGTACCTTCCCCTCTTTCATACATTTATTAAACAAAAGTACCAACCACTCCAACACTATATCCCCCCCTGCTTTTAACATTTCTGTCATGATCCCATCAGTTCCAGCTGCTTTACCCCCTTTCATTTTACGTAATGCCTCACGTACCTCCACCACACTTACATTCTGCTCTTCCTCACTCCTAAAAGATGGTATACCTCCCTGGCCAGTGCATGAAATTACCACCTCCCTTTCTTCCTCAACATTTAAAAGTTCCTCAAAATATTCTTGCCATCTACCTAATACCTCCCTCTGGGTTTTCTTCTACTTTCTTTCTAGTTCTTATTCTTGTTTATTTCCTCTTATCTCCATGGGAAAGTGGAACAGAATTCTTCATCCCTAAGCCATGCGTGTTATAAGAGGCGACTAAAATGCCGGGAGCAAGGGGCTAGTAACCTCTTCTGTACATATTACTAAATGTAAAAGGAGAAACTTTCATTTTTCCTTTTGGGCTACCCCGCCTCGGTGGGATACGGCCGGTGTGTTGAAAGAAAGAATAAGATAATTATATACTAAGCATTTACTACCTTTAATAACATAAAAAGATAAATAAAACTGTCTTGTTAATACTATAGTACAGAAGAGCTGAACATTTTCTTTTACACAGTGGAAGAGTCCACTGAGGCTGCTGATCAAAAAACAGAGAGGAAATGCATTCATCATTATTTATTCAACTGCTTTCATGCCAGAAGCATAATGGCATCATAGTACAGATGACCCTCCAAACTCCAACATACTCACCCCTCCTTTAGAGTGCAGGTACTGTACTTCCCAACACCAGGACTCAAGTGTGACAAATTGGTTTCCTTGAATCCCTTCATACATGTTACTTTGCTCATACTCCAACAGCACGTCAAGTCATAAAAACCACACAAATGCTTGCTGGATGTCTAAGTCCTCTCGTACACAAAGCTTCCTTTACACCCTCCCTTCAACCTTTCCTAGGACAACCTCTACTCTGCCTTCCCTACACTGCAAGTCAACTTATTTTATTCCATCCTATCTAAATGTCTGAACCACCTCAACAACCCCTCTTCAACCCATTGGATAATACCTTTAGCAACCCTGCACTTCCTCCTAATCTCCAAAATATGAATTCTCTACATATTTACACTACAGTTTGCCCTCACACACATCATCTCCACTGCCTCTAGCCTCCTCTTTGCTGCAACATTCACCACCCATGCTTCACACCTATATAAGAGTGTTGGTACCACTATACTCTCACACATTACCCTTCTTGCTTCCATGGATAATGTCTCCACAGATTCCTAAGAGACCACTAACCTTTTTTCCTCCTTGTCAATTCTATGTTTCACCTCGCCTTTCATAGACCAATCTAAAGAAAAGTCCACTCCGAAATATCTGAAAACATTCACTTCCGCCATACTTAATCCCTCCAATCTGCTATCAAATCTTTCATTACAGTAGGGCCCCACTTTACAGCATTCCACTAATATGGCAATTTTAAATTATGACCAAAATTTGCTATACAGAGTGCAGTCTTTCAAATACGGCATGCCCCACCTGGTTTGTTTCCATTCTCAGTGAGCATATTTCTCTATTATGTCTGGAAATTTTCCAAAATTTAAAGTGTTGTAAAGTTAATTGCATATTTTATATGTACTTTCTTTCAATGCACCAGCCATATCCCACTAAGGTGGGGTGGCCCAAAAGGAAAAATGAAAGTTTCTCCTTTTAAATTTAGTAATATATACAGGAGAAGGGGTTACTAGCCTCTTCCTCCCGGTATTTTAGTCGCCTCTTACAGCACGCATGGCTTACGGAGGAAGAATTCTGTTCCACTTCCTCATGGAGATAAGAGGAAACAAACAAGAACAAGAACTAGAAAGAAAATAGAAGAAAACCCAGAGGGGTGTCTGTATATATATGCTTGTACATGTATGTATAGTGTGACCTAAGTGCAAGTAGAAGTAGCAAGACGTACCTGAAATCTTGCATATTTACGAGACAGACAAAAGATACCAGCAATCCTACCATCATGTAAAACAATTACAGGCTTTCATTTTACACTCACTTGGCAGGACGGTAGTGCCTCCCTGGGCAGTTGCTGTCTACCAACCTACTACCTAGGGTATTTTGTATGTTTTTTTTTTTTTTTTCAACAAGTCGGCCGTCTCCCACCGAGGCAGGGTGACCCAAAAAAAAGAAAGAAAATCCCCAAAAAGAAAATACTTTCATCATCATTCAACACTTTCACCACACTCGCACATTATCACTGTTTTCGCAGAGCTGCTCAGAATACAACAGTTTAGAAGCATACACATATAAATATACACAACATATCCCTCCAAACTGCCAATATCCCAAACCCCTCCTTTAAAGTTCAAGCACTGTACTTCCCTTTTCCAGGACTCAAGTCCGACTATATGAAAATAACCGGTTTCCCTGGATCCCTTCACTAAATATTACCCTGCTCACACTCCAACAGATCGTCAGGTCCCAAGTACCATTCGTCTCCATTCACTCCTAACACTCTCACGCACGCTTGCTGGAAGTCCAAGCCCCTTGCCCACAAAACCTCCTTTACCCCCTCTCTCCAACCCTTTCGAGGACGACCCCTACCCCGCCTTCCTTCCCCTATAGATTTATATGCTTTCCATGTCATTCTACTTTGATCCATTCTCTCTAAATGACCAAACCACCTCAACAACCCCTCTTCTGCCCTCTGACTAATACTTTTATTAACTCCACACCTTTTCCT